TACTTACCTATGGTACTGGGAGGAAACCAGATCGAAAAACCCTGGGGAACACACAAATGCGCCGGCGGGACGCACAGGAAATGCAAAGGGGAGCAAGGCAAATGCTCGGGAATTTCAAAAAGAAACGTGAGAGGAAGTACGAGAGGAAACGCACACGAAAGGCGCGCCTGTAATGAGCGAGTAAACCCAGTGAAGAATCCGCAGTAAATGTATTGACCACTTCAGAAACGAGAAAAAAATGGGCCGAGTCTCGACTGGCAATGTATTGTGAGACTGCATTGTTGTCCTCAGAGCCACCTGTCCTGCTCATGGAAACTCACGATTTGATTGGATAGATTCTTGGACAAGGATTTTCACTAATAAGCCACGGTCGATATATTAATATTCTAACATGGCCCCGAGGCTTTCAGGACAAACTTCTATATTTGGTGTTGTTTTCTTGGGAATTGTGAGACAAAAGAAACTTAAAACATTTGCAATTTTGACCCGAAGCCTCGGATCCATGTTATAATATTGATATGTCGAACGTGGCCTATTCAGTACTGGTTTCCTTCTGGAATACATTACTGTGTAAATCTTACGAAAACTGTTCAGTCACAGCGCCCAATGGTCTTAAGGAAGTTAAAAACGTTTACGGAGAGAAATTCGTTGAAGTCCTTCAAACATTTTTTGCCACTTCCCGATCAGAATTTCATTCTTAATTCTCAGTAAGTGCTGTAATCTAACGGTCTCAGCTAGAGATCAACCAGTGGGTCCTTTCGGGAGGAAAATCAGTGTTGAATTAGTAATAATCGTAATCCAAAAACAACCAGGCAATGATTTCATGTTTCTCCCAATCCACCGTTTCCTCGGGAGACGCCCGACCGGCTAAGAAGGACAGGCCTGTCTCCTCCGCAGAGGCTCAGAGGTTTCCCGGGTGGGGAGAATCCGCTGAGCGATATGAATTCAAGCCCAAGGATTTCTATAAGGAACGTCTCGAACCTTTGCGATGGAGAGAGAGGACAGACGACTCAAGGGACGGGAATGGTTGGACTATTACTAGCGACAAAACAAAAGAGGGGAAGTCATATTGCTCCAAGTAATAGTTTCACGAGCGGCTACTGGATTAGACTTTCCCTAGATTTATTCTGGTTAATTGATAACGCTGGAACACACGATTTTACGCACGGTGAAACGCACCAGGGAAAGCGCCGGACACGGGAGGGAACGTACCGAAAATTTACGAGGAAATACGCGATGGAACGCGCGGTGTAATGGACAAGTAAAGGGAGCCCACCACTAACGTTGGGTGGCAAAAACCCCTAGGAGAAAGCCCTGTGCTACGCACAACAGAACACGAGTACATTTGGCGGCATGCACAGCAATTTACTTGCATGTGAGATTCAAAGGGCAAAGCCAACGTTAGGGGGAATCCGCGTACTGGGAAACAATGAAAGAACGCACGGGTTGCGTGTCAGAGGGTACAAGGGAGGGANGCTACGCACAACAGAACACGAGTACATTTGGCGGCATGCACAGCAATTTACTTGCATGTGAGATTCAAAGGGCAAAGCCAACGTTAGGGGGAATCCGCGTACTGGGAAACAATGAAAGAACGCACGGGTTGCGTGTCAGAGGGTACA